TATATATATACACACATTCAAGTACAAGCGTAGAAATAAACCTCAATGTTGAGTCCTCTATGGTAGTCCATTGTCAAAGTTTCAGCAGTACGTTTTCCTTCGTCATAACAACTGCGAACACCTGCTCAATGCTCCAAACCAAGTTTCAAACGGTTAAATTAAGCTAATGATTGAAAAACTATTAAGTAGTTACATGCCATTTGGATAGGTAAAGCAAAATATTAGTTTGTAACGTCACGCAAACGACGATCTGTTATCACAAGTTAAAATATATGAATAATTTAAAAACTCTTTAGATTGACAATATATATAATTTAAATCGAAGTGACTCACCAATTGGATTAACATTGCCCCAGTAAGTTTCAGCCTGAGGATGCTGCAATGGATCACCATATACTTCACTTGTGCTTGTAAGCAAAAATCGAGCTCCTATTCTTTTTGCTAATCCCAACATGTTCAATGTTCCCATCACATTTGTTTTGTGATATCTATCCAATTTAAAGTCAAGGCAAACAAAAACCTCCAAAATACAAACATATATGCTTTACATATTTACAATTATATGCAGTGAAATACATATTTATATAATTCACAGAGTTTATAAGATTTACATGTTTACATATCTAGAGTCAAGCTTGTAAATCAAAACAATATATACTATATTTTTCTCATGGAAATAATGATCTGCTATAATTAGTTACAATTTGAATAAAAGAAAATGATCCTGTATTTTATTTATTGATCTCCTATGAAAATTGTTGTATAATTAAAAGAAGATATGTAATGGACTATAACACCGACTTTATTGCAAATATAGACAGAAAAATTGCAACATATAACAAATTCTCAAATAAAAAAGAGTGAGTATATTACTTGAGTACCTCTAATGCTTAAAGAATTTAACTTATATGTACCGACGATGTAAAGAAATTTTACACTATTAGTATTATATTTTAGTCAAGGGTTGACCGCCAAAAACTTGACTTCTTACCATGTTGCTAATTTCATTTTTTGTGAGCGGTTACATATATTTACTATTTAGATGACAAAAATATCTTTTACTCTATTAGTATATAAAACTTAAACTCGTGCTAGAAACATAATAAACAACAGATCAGTTCAAAATGTGAAAGGATATGATGGTCTTGACTGGATTATACTTGTAAGAAACAGGAGAAGCTGGACATGCCAAATGATAAATCTGATCAACTTCTAACAATATTGGCTCAACGACGTCGTGTCGAATGAGTTCAAATCTTGGATTCTTGAAATGGTGTAACAAATTCTCTTTTCGACCTGTGAAAAAATTATCAACCACAATTACACTATCTCCTCGTGCTATTAATCTGTCCACTAAATGGCTCCCAACAAATCCAGCTCCACCTGTTACTAATATTCTCAAACTCTTGCTCTTCAATCCCAATGGAACCTTTCCACCTGCAACAAGTTTTGTTAAGTCACATATATGTTAGAAAATTGTGTTGCTCGAACTTTTCAAAATTAACGTCGAGTGCGTGTCAGATCTTCTAAAAAATAGTAGTACATTTTTGGAAGATTTTAGACGATCCAACACGAGTTTGATAGTATTTTTAGAGGGTTCGAGCAACATAGGCCGAAAGGAATAAATTCGCTTTATGTATATTCAATCAACTACGACATATCTTTATATGTATTCTATATTATTTGCGTTTATTTTATTCTAATATTAATCAATAATTTGTCTTTTTTAAGACCTTTAAAAAACTATAAATTCTCTGAATCTCGTATTTGTTCCTACCTTCAACGAGTCAGATGCAACAAGAGTTCAACTGAACCCATTATTTCTCAAATCGGATATATCAATCAAAAATTATCCAAATTTAAACAAATTAAATTTTGTACTCGTCTATACTACAATCTGTTCAGTAATAAAAACTTTAAAGATTGAATCTATCAAATTTAAATTCTGAATCGGCTATATCTATAACAACAATACACATTTCTATCCAAAATAAAAAGACTCATTTCAAACACAAAAGTTCAAAATTTAATTACTACATGAGGGAGAAAAAGTGCAAGGATTTTCTTTTCAAAGAATAGCATTCATGAATTGCCATTTAAGAATCTATGCAGTTACCTGGATTCAAATAAACTCATTATTTCCGACTCAAGTTATATATACACATGACAAAAAATTAAAACATACATTATACGAATAATAAAATCACACCAATTCTGCCCTCACTAAGTTTAGAACCTGAATTCGCCGTAACCATACCTGCATTAATGTTGTGGTCAGCTTCATCAACCAATTCATACGCTATTCTTCTTGGAATCGGATTGGACACAAATGTATTTGTATCTTGAATATCAATCTTAAACTCGGACCTCAACGGAGAAGAAGACACAGAAACCAGAGAAAAAATAACAACAGACATGCCAATTCCAATAAAAAGACATACAAGTCTTTGCTTTTCAAGCACATATTGAATTGGATATTTCAATGAAAATCTCTTCATGTTGTTTTTCTTTACGTAATTTTTCTGAAACACCACATTATCAGTTCCCATGTTGGCTTTTTGTAAATAAAATTTTCTCTTTTTTTTTTTCTCTCCCTCTTTTTAAGATCTAAGGAGAATGAAAAAAGAAATGTTGTTTGTTTACTTTGTGTGAGAAAAACAATTAAGAAAGAGAAATCGAAGATGGCGGTGAATGAAGAAAGTGGAAGCATTTGCATGAATTTTCGCCGTAATAAGATGGATGTCTGAGGAGACTAGTGGCTTTCTTCACTTTGCTTTTTAGCAAATTAAGCTATTCCACGTGTAATTATATTATCTTACCTCCAATTTTCTAAATCCCCTACACAAAGTGAGTTATTAATTATATTATCCTTCTTTTCTTATTTATACTTATATATATATATATATATATATATATGCCTGATTTGTTTGGGATTGCAACATAGTTAATGTTCTTGTTATTATAGATAGCTTCTAGTATGTTTTGTTTTTCTCTTTATTTTGTATAATAATAACCTACACTACCAAAAAAATAAGAATTAGTGGCGGAAAAATTCGTAGCTAAACAGTAAAATTCGTTGTTAATCCTACTTAGCGACAAATTATCAAAAATTTATGTTAGCGACAAAATTCGTAGTCAATTATAATTTTTTAGTGCTGCTTAAATGCGCGTAAGTGGAATAGCATAGTCAGCGAACATTCATATACCTAACCTCAATATATTTGAAATTGAGGCGTACAATTTTTCTTGTTGTGTTTTCTTTTTGCAAATATTTTCACTATACACGTGGAAGTCATACGTTTTGTATTCATCAAAATCAAATGTCATTTTGTCATTTGGAGTAAAACGAAATTCTTAACTGGCTTTGGTGCAAAATAAGTAACTAATTTTGTCATTTCATGTCATGTGGAAAGGGCCACAGTAAAAACTGAAAAAGATGGAGTAAATTTGGTCCTAAATCAATCGAGTATGTAATAAGTGTTCTTTTATGAAATTACCTGTAATGACACATTGTAAACTAATTTAGATTTATGCGCAACAAAAAAAAAAAAAAAAAAAAAAGGCAACC